TCATGAAGTTAAGGTACCAAAGCTCATCACAACAATTACTGTGAAAATATTTATAAAAGAAGCAAAGGGAAGCCATGTTATAGCAGTGAGAAAGTGACTGAAGCTGAGATGTCATGACCGATATTGTTGCCGATTCTTTAGATTTAGTCAAGAATCTAAGATATGAAAAGGAAGCACCAGACCAGATGTCGCCGCCATATTTGATGCACAGATGAATGGTATTCTTATAAATGTACAAGAAAGATTCTTTCTTATTGTATATAATAAAGATGTCTACAGCCTAATAAGGAAAAGGGCATTGATTTTTACTGTTTACTCTCCTTTTTTGTCAATGCGTTTAATTCAGTGGTGAATATTAATCACATAGATTGAACATTATACAGTGAAAATTTCAGATTAAAATTTAGCTAATAATGGTCTGGTCCATCCTTGTCAATGTTAGAAAATGATTTCTTTTTATATTAACTTACATTTTTTTAATGCTATAGAAAAAAATATCCTAAAGAATTCACTAATCTGGTCTAAGTTGGGACAATAGCTGTTCCCATCACAGAAGCAGATTTCAACACTGTTCCAACTTTGTAACTGATCTGTTAACTGACATTAGTGTTGGTATATCCTTTTGAGACTTGGAATTTTAGCAGTATTTGCCTTTTATTTTGTTACTGCCAAGATTAAAAAGTAAATTACTATAGCATCTGGGTTAAAAAAAAAAAAAAAAAAATGTCCTGATATACCATTTTGGATTTTAGCCCATAGTACTGACAAATATCACAGTGTTATGACTTGCATCTGCGAAAATATATAAATAACATCTAAAGTTTGACTAAATTTAATGAATACAATATGCAAAGAATCATAATGACTTTTGTGGGTTAGATGTTACAAATGAATTTCTTTTTAAATTTGATAGTGGTGATGATCCTAATGCCAGATGCAGAAAGAATGAAGTTAGTTCCAGTAAGGTGCTCTCTACTGGTGTGAAACTGAGGATAAAGAACTAGAAGAAAGAAAAAAAATATTAAAAAAAAAAAAATTATCAAAAGCAGTATAAGCCTATCATGATAACCAAATGTTGAAACCCTCTGACAGTGGATTTAAAGGCTACACCACTGATGTCTTTTGGGGACCATAGTGTAGTAGATATAGGTGTTGATTAATAGTGTTATTGTTGCTTTCATGTAGTGGTTGTGTGGTCAATTCCAGGTAGGGAATAAACAAGAAACTGCATCACTGGAACAAAAATGTAATAGTCAATCTATAAAAGCTATTCCATATCAGCTAAAATAATGAACCTTTAGAGATGGTAGTTGGGCACTTGGTAGAAATCTTATAGACATGAAATTGAGTAGACAGGACTGTCCTGACATTGTCAATGGTTGTGCTAGCATGAAGCCACAAGTCATTGTGGCTGAGGGTTTGAGCATATTGGCCTTGTTCAAACTGTTGATAATGCTAGATGATGTACTCTCTCCTGCATAGTTGTAGTGTAAACCACAGGTAGGCTTTGAGTGTTGAACAAATACAAATGTGCTTGAGCAGGCATCTGCAACAGGGATTGGCTAACTGCCCTAGCAGATGGATGTTCTTGGAAATGAGTGGTTGGTCATTACAATGTCAGATTAGAGCCAGATAGGCCAAACAGTTTTATTTGTTACTATTACTAGTTTTACTTTGTTGAATTTGGTAGCACCCCAAGCTGGTACTCTAGGGCAAATATATGAAAAGGAAAATAATTGAAAATATTAGTGCAAAAAATAAACTTTTATTCTGTCCAGCTCATGTGTATAGTAGTTTGCTTAAATCTCTTGAATAGAGCTTGTTATAAGTTAAATGTGGTTTGATTTGTTTTTATATATATATATATATATATATAAGCATGCTCTACATTTCCTAACTCTATCCAGATTAGCATATGTTCCTTATTAAATGTGCATGATGGGATCACACCTGACTCCTTCAGTTAGCCCACCTACAACTTTTGTATTATATCAATAGTTGAAAGTGTTGTGAAATAACGCAATGAAGTATATTGTTCACTGTCTGCATGTTTGTAGGCATGTAAGAGTGTCAGTCTTTATTAATACCCAAAGAAGATATACAGTGTAATAATTTTGGGGGTGAGTAATTTTGATCTCTCTTATTTTGAAGCCTGTCCATGTGATGATCTGTATGTGGGATGGAATCATTTACTCATCTGTTATATTTATGTATAATTTTAATGGATCAATTGAAGCACATATTTAGGTTCTTAGTTTTATTTTCTGTCAGTGTATATCAGCATTTCTCAGCCAGTATTCCAAGTTAGCAGAAGAGCAATTTATGAATTATTTTTATATTTAAAAAGTCTTTATTTATAAAAATGCTAGACACTAAGTACATGACTTCCATGTATCAGTCAAGTCTTTGTCATTTGATATTTTAAACTGGACATTAAATTCCTTAATCATTTAGCACTCTGCATCATTTATAAATATTACTTCTCTTTTTATTGTATATGGGATCCCCTCAAAATATAGTCTTTTATGTATTAGTTCTATTATATATTTGAAATTGCAGTCGTCTGGCTCTCAATTTCAGTCAAGATTGTTTTAGGTGTTGCCATAGAAGAATATGACTACACAACCAAATAATTCAACTCGCATTGACAGGACTAACATTTTGCTTGGTGAAAATAGTCACCTACAGAGTGCTAAAGATTAATAAGGAGGGGATAAACCTTTCCACTTTGCTTTCCCCAGGGCATAACATGTAATGACTATTATTTAAAAAGTTATCAAGACACATCAAGCAATTTTCACATAAGCATACTTAAATATACAATATAATGTCTTAAAAATAAATGCTTATTTCAGGAGATGACTTTATTATTTTCCTATTTTCAAATTTCATGACTAATTTTTCTTTCTTAAAATTGAAAGTGTGCCCCAGACTTTTAGTTATTTTACAAGTGGTTCCTGAAGTGTATATCAAGTGTCAATTGAGGTGAGAAGTGACTTTTTCTTTTGAACATTTAAAAAATTTTATTTTCTCTGTAATTGAAATATTTTTTCAATTTATCAACTTATTCTTCCAGCTGTTTTCATAGTACAGCTTTTAATGTTGATGAATTGTATTATCTCTCATTGTTTTTAATGTTTCAGTTTTAGAACAATAGCAATGGTGAATGACATAATTTTCAGTCTATTATTAACTTGTTCAATGCCATAGGATATTAATTAACATTTTTGCTACTTGTTAATCAGCAAACTATATTCATTAGCATCCTCCTTGACTTAGTTTGCACTTACTGTTATTACTAAGCTTGTTCTGTTGTATGCATTTCTTTTGTCAGTTAGAATATTGATGAACTGTTCAGTACATAATAGACAAGACTTTTATTACTTTTCTGTTGTGTGTGTAATATATATAATCTTTAAAATGGGGATCATAATTGATTCCTAAGACAAGGATAAAAAAAAGCATCATAATAAATAAAATTGAAACCTGAGGTACCTTTTTGTCTGACTCCTGCTCACTGGCACAAAATAACACCAAAAACTGAAGGGGATGGGGGAAATCAACACCTTTTTGGTGTTATTTTAAATTGTTGTTGAAAAATTTCCTGAAAAACTGTTTTAAGAAAAGGATTTTATAAATTTCAACCCATAGTCAGGGTCATTGTTTGGTCAATGAATGTCAAAGGCTTCCTTTATGATAACAGTTAATTTTGTTACTATTACAAAGTTGTATTTTTAATGTAAGCATTTTCTCTTTGTTATTATTTTCAATTATCTTATTTTGGTTATTTTTATTTCATGGTGTGAGTAAAATCTGATAAGGTCATATGACTAAATTTGAACTTTGACTGATCGGCCTCCAGGATCAAATTTGTAAGATGTTTTTGTGATATGCAAGTTCAAAGTTTAGTGGAGATTGCTGATTTATTTCCTGTAAAATTATTTGGGCATTTTCATGAAGAGCAGCAAGAAATAAAACTAATTTATAATTAATAATAATGAAAATACTTTGTTTCAGAAATTCTGACAATTTCTTAATGATGAAATTAGAAGTTCGGCACGTAAATAACTGATGTTTTTTTTTTTTTTTTTTTTTTTATCTCATGGTTATTCTGACATTTTTATCTTGTAAGATCCTCAGTATTCAGTTGGTTATGTAAAATGTCAATGTGTGACAAATTTAATGTTTTGAGTTTTCATGAAGAGGAATGGTTAAGTAATGGATAGTGGCTCTGATTGAGGAATTGGAGAGCCGAGTTCAAATTCCAGTCAGGTTTGTTACAGTCACTTATGTGCAAATGCCCTTGGGAAAAGTATGAATCCATCTCTTCTCTTCACCAGCTACGGGTAAATAGCAGGACAGGCTGGGTCCTATAGCTTGTGTAGCAACAGTTGATCTAGGATAAGGAAAACTCAATTCAAAACCTCCAACTAAGGTTCAAATATCCTAACCAACCTTCAACTGGCCAAGTGTGGAGAGTATAGATACACTCCTGAAGACATGGTCAATCAGGGTAGGGTTCCTCCAATAAAAGTGAGAAGGCCTTGGACCCCCCCCCCCTTTTTTTTTAATGATAAACTTATTTCCACATTTGGGACTTTGGCCTTTTATTTGTTTAGGTAACTATTGTATAAAATCTTTTTTAGGAGACATAAGCTATTTTGAGTTCAAATTTGTCATGTTTCCAAGTAACCACTTTTAAAAAAAACTTTTTTTATCATAAATGCTGTTTGAATTCGAGACATTTGTAATGTCTAAAATTTATCTTTGTACAGTGCAATTATTTCTTTACTAATCAAGGAAGGGCTTAAATACTCTTGAAACCACTCCTAAACATAGTAGGTATTGAAATTGTACTGTTGGTTTGTAATAATTAGATTTGTCTGCATGTACAGAAATCATAAACAAATTTTCATTAGTTGAATATATTATTGTGGATTTTCAGTTATTTTATCAAGTTGTATTATCAGTTCTGTTGTGGCTGGGGCTTATGGCCACATGTTGAAACACTGGTTCCTGTATGATCACTGAAGTTAAGCAACATTGAGCATGGGCAGTACCCATATAGGTGACTGCTTGGGAGTACTCGGTGTTGTAAGCTTTGATGTGTGGGTGATGTAATGGATAATGGTTCAGAAATTTTAATCAGAGAGCCAAGTTCTAATTCCTGTTGTGTGTGTTATATTTAGTTGCATGCAAATACCTTTGGTGGGAAAATCATAAATTTACCTCTTCTTCCCCAGCTATGGGTTAATTAGACTTGTATCACTAAACCATTATTATACCCTCCAAAAAAGATTCTTACAATTTTAGTATTTTTTTTGGCTTTAAATAACCTGTGATGGGTTACTGAGCCATAGAAAATGAATCCGTCTGCTGTATTTGGGTATAAAACTGAAAAAAAGGTTTCCTTTGGCTGTTCATGTTTGTGAGTAAAATTTTAACAAAAATGATTGTTCATAATTGACAGCTATGTATTAGAATATTAAAAGGACTACCATTTTTTTTTTTCTTTTCTTTTTAATTATTCTGAACAATATTCAACTTTTAAGTGGGTAATAGTTTGTTTTTTTTCTTAAGGAGAAAAAAATTAAGTGACAAATTTTTCTCAAGGAGTGAAAAAAAATAATACTTATTTTTTTTCTTTTTCTTTTGGCTGGTAGAGGGTGAAAGCATTAAAAGTATTGTGGTTATTTTCTTTTCATAATTTTCTATATTCTCTCATTATTCCTTTTCTTTTCTCTATCTTTCAACTCCGAGTGTCAAATCTAAATATACTAGAATTTTTTTGGCAACATGCTAATGCATGTTGGAATCCTCACCATAACTGTTGAAGTTATAAACATTTTTTGAGATTTGCAAACTTTATAATTTGTTCAATTTCACAAATTAATCCATGAAATTTGAATAAGTTGATTTGTTTGGAAAAATACTTTGACAAAACCCCTACTTTGCTGTTTTGATGCACCCTAGTAAAAACCAACTGCACTCTGTACTGTCTTACCTGTTTGCACTTCTCCCTAAAATTTGGTTTTGATCAGTTAATGTATGGTGATTTTAGAGGGTTTGATGGACAGACTGATGGAAGTCACAGAATTTTATGTATAGATAGATTAATATAAAGTAAAGTAATCATTATCATTTTATATGTACTGATGAGTTTGTCTTTTTTGAGATAATTTTTCTTTTCTTTTTTTTCTTTTCCCTCCAAGAAAATCTTTGCCTTTCTCCATAATCAATCTTTTAAAAATTTTCTCATGATGCCAGATTTTAGTGTCTCACAGGATATATTGAAGGCAAGAGGAGTAGAAGGAAACACAGTAACCTACTTAATGAGATTGTGTAAATAGTTGGCAGAATGGGGACTGGTACGGATAGTGGACAAATGTTGCTCAGAACTCCAAAATTTAGGAAGTTGTAGAGAGCTATTATCATGCATATTGATCTATATAGTTATTTGATGCCAAAATGTAAATATTTTGAACACAATTATATGCATTCAACAACAGATAACATGCATTGTTGGTCATTTTTACTTGACCATTTTTACACATTCATAGTGTTTTTATTTGAGAATTCACTATTTGCCCATAGCTGGGACCCTAACAGGTGCTACCACCCTGGGTAAGGGTGGACCTGGGAACAACAGCAATTATTCAAAAACTTCAGTCTCTTGATTAGTGGCTTTGCTGTTGGATGTCATACCCAGGATTACGCATGTCTTGAAGGGGCATGACAGATACAAGAACATTATTTTATTGTAAAGTCATTGACTTAGGTAATAAAATTGTGTGTGTGTATATATATATATATATATATATATATATATATATATATATATATATATATATATATATATATATTGATATTTGTGCCACATTTATCTAAGGTAAATTTTGTTTGTCTCATCATAGTAGTGAACATAATAGCATGAATTTTAATGTCATTCTGTCTTGTCATTATTCTCAGCTTGTCTCCATTGTTCAGTGTATGTCTGTCTATAATTATCTTTCTTGAGAGTGCATCTTCATTCATACTGCTGCTATCTATTGTTAGTATCAATAAACATCTTTTCTGTGGAATAGCTGTTTTTTTTTGTTTTTTCTTTTGGTCATGCTGTTTTTTCATTTGGTCATGCTGTTTTTTCATTTTAATATTCAATGGATTAATAAATTTAAGATGGTCAATATGTTGGATTTTTTTCACTGAATCCTAAGTGGTTTCCCCTTTTTGCATCTTTCCTTTTTTTTTTTTTTAATTTTTTATTTATGATTCCAGCTGTCTGTCGTTGACCATTTTGTTTTTATTTCTTCCTCTTCCACTATTATGTTGCTACTCTGTTACAGATGGTTTTATTGAAACAGTTGTTTTCCTTCTGTCTGTTCTAAAACTATATAGAAAGCAATTTTAGCTTGAACCAAATGCAAAATAATATACCAGAAAAAGATAATTTATGAATGTAAAGGCTTTAATATTGATATAATGGATAGTGTAATTGTCATCATGGTAAATGAATTTAGTATGCAGAGTTCAATTCCCACTCCATTTGATTTTGTTCTCTTTGTGCTAATGCCCTTTGAAAAGTCATGAAGCTATCCTCTTGCAGTTATAGGATAAATAGTAGGGCAGACTGTACTGCTATAGCTGTAATACATATGGTACCCTTTTAACCCAAATGATTACAAGATATGTGACATGACTGATATTCCACATTCATTGTCGTTTTTAAAAAATTCATTACTTGTTTTTTATATGAATTAATTTTGCTATTTCTAAGTAGACATATGTGGAATAAGAAATCAATAACCTTATATATTGATCAGAGATTTTGACCTGAAATCTGTGTTTCTTTATCTGTGATACATAAGCATTTAATGAAAAAAAAATGTTTTTCATTAATCCTGGAATAATATTCATGGGCTTTATTTTTAAAGAAATTGGATAAAATACATTGGGTAAATTGTTTTAAGTTTCTATATATTGTCTGAGCTAATTGAGACAAAAATGATTGTACAAAGGTCAATGAAACCGGTATTTTTTTAAAAATTTTATTTCTGGCTTGAAGACTCGTGTATGCCATCCCCATTTGTTGTACTAAAGATATATTATTTTTGGTTTAAGCTACCGACTTTATATATATATACACACACACACACACACACACACACACACACACACACACACGTTCTTTTAATGACTTGTAAAAATCCATTCTCTTATAATACTTAGTTGTCTGAGACAATTCCAATTGATATGGTGATGATTATATCTTCTGTTTTTTCTATCACACACAGTAAAGGCCTAAAAGCTGAAAGTGTCATTCCTCCTCCTCCTGGCAAAGGGGATTACACTCGAGGCTCTTGCAATACAGTTAGACATACTTAGTACTATATTACAAAGTACTTTGCCACACAAAATTTACAGTTAAGTGGCTTTAGATTGTTCACTTGGTAAAAAGCTTTAATTGACCTATGATGGGAAGGTGGCAAAGTGTTTGGTGAGAAGGAAAGAAAAGATTCTATAAAGAAACTACTTTTGAGGTTCACTCACAAGTGTGAAAAACAAAAAGCTTTTAAATCCCTTGTGGTAGTTGAGTCATTAATATACAATTTAAACTGTAACTGAAGTTACATTTACCTGTCCAATAGTAAGATTTTCATAACACATTCTATCTCCATCTCTCAAAAATAAATCACACAAAAGTATGAAAAAAAAAAAAAATTTATGAGAAATTTTATTGCTTTGTTCATCATGATTGCAAGTCCCATAATTCATTAGGGTAGTAGGATCACCATATATTTTGGGAAACAACCTCATTCTACCTTGAGTGGCTCTATCTATCCAATTTTCACTTACTACGGGTTGACCCAAGCCATATATCGTTTTCAGGCACTTTCCAAAGTTGCTGCACACTGGGATCGACTCCTCCAGTCAAATTATTGATCACACTAGATGACACACACTTTCCCAGAAACTGTAACTAAGGTCTGCTCAGCATAGTTGCAATATAAACCATAGGTGAGCTCTGTGGGTGTTGAATACACAAATGCACCTGAGCAAGCATCTGCAATAGGGATTGGCTAGCCGCCCTTGTAGACAGGTATTCTTGAATACGAGTAGCCAGCTATGCATACATACCTACCTACCTACCTTGAGTGGCTATTAAGCCTTGTATCGAGCAAACAACTAGTAAAGAACAAGAAAACTAATCAAGAATAGTAATTTTTATAACTGATAAATTTATCATGATCATTAGGGTTGTAGGGGCACCATATATATTGTCATCACAGTAGCAGTGGTGTTTCCTGGGCAATATAGCCTGAAGGAGTCCAACCCTCTCTGGTTTCAAAGCTGGTTTTGAATTCAGTTGTCCTTCTAGATTGGTTGTCAACCAAGCCTTTAGAGGCCAGTCTGTTCTGCTATTTAACCCATAACTGGAGGGAGACTAGATGGATTCATACCTTTCCCAAGGGTATTTACATGTAAGTGAAAGTAAACTCTACTGGAATTCAAATTCGGCTCTCATATTTCTCAATCCAAGACACTATTCATTACACCACTGAACGTTAGTCAGAACATTGCAAAATATGAAAGTAAAATCCTATTGTAACCAGAAAAATACTTCCCTGCATATATTGTTTTCTGTAAAGTTGCAAAAAATTTATGGTTGATTTATGTCATGCAGACATAGATTTGCAAATGGCTGTCAAAATTAAAAAAAGTTCTTGTGTTATGAAAATATACAAGTAATCTAGTTTAATTCTTAAATTGCAAAGTGGCATCATGCATTTGTATAGGCTTTCTTGTATGACATAAATTCTTTCACTATCACACAATAAAATCCCACATGGACCAACTAGAATTATGATCAGCAAACACACAAGAATTATGTACATGAATACTGATTGATGGGACAAATACACGTGAGGTCTGCTTAACCAATGAAAAACAACTCCATAATAAATACCAGAATTTCCATTTCTCGTCTGTATTTCATTTTCTGATGAATCGAGTTCTTAACCCAGTCGTCCCAAGACATTTTTTTTTTCTTTCTCTGGGCTGCATTTTTGGAATTAAAATTTGCTCACACCTCACCAAA